ATAGACCTAGGATATCCTAGAATCAATGTTAGAAGATAAGAACCTAGGATATCCTAGAATCAATGATAGAAGATAAGAACCTAAGATGTCCTAGAATCAATGATAGAAGATAAGAACCTAGGATATCCTCGAATCAATGATAGAAGATAAGAACCTAGGATATCCTAGAATCAATGTTAGAAGATAAGAACCTAGGACGTCCTAGAATCAATGTTAGAAGATAAGAACCTAAGATGTCCTAGAATCAATGTTAGAAGATAAGAACCTAGGATATCCTAGAAACAATGTTAGAAGATAAGAACCTAGGATATCCTCGAATCAATGTTAGAAGATAAGAACCTAGGATATCCTAGAAACAATGTTAGAAGATAAGAACCTAGGATATCCTAGAATCAATGATAGAAGATAAGAACCTAGGATATCCTAGAATCAATGTTATAAGATAAGAACCTAAGATATCCTAGAAACAATGTTAGAAGATAAGAACCTAGGATATCCTCGAATCAATGTTAGAAGATAAGAACCTAGGATATCCTAGAAACAATGTTAGAAGATAAGAACCTAGGATATCCTAGAATCAATGATAGAAGATAAGAACCTAGGATATCCTAGAATCAATGTTAGAAGATAAGAACCTAAGATGTCCTAGAATCAATGTTAGAAGATAAGAACCTAAGGTGTCCTAGAATCAATGATAGAAGATAAGAACCTAGGACGTCCTAGAATCAATGTTAGAAGATAAGAACCTAGGATATCCTAGAAACAATGTTAGAAGATAAGAACCTAAGGTGTCCTAGAAACAATGTTATAAGATAAGAACCTAGCATATCCTAGAATCAATGTTAGAAGATAAGAACCTAAGGTGTCCTAGAAACAATGTTATAAGATAAGAACCTAGGATGTCCTAGAAACAATGTTATAAGATAAGAACCTAGGATGTCCTAGAAACAATGTTAGAAGATAAGAACCTAGGATATCCTAGAATCAATGATAGAAGATAAGAACCTAGGATATCCTAGAAACAATGTTATAAGATAAGAACCTAGGATATCCTAGAAACAATGTTAGAAGATAAGAACCTAAGATGTCCTAGAAACAATGTTAGAAGATAAGAACCTAGGATATCCTAGAATCAATGTTAGCAGATAAGAACCTAGGATATCCTAGAATCAATGATAGAAGATAAGAACCTAGGACATCCTAGAATCAATGTTAGCAGATAAGAACCTAGGATATCCTAGAATCAATGATAGAAGATAAGAACCTAGGACATCCTAGAATCAATGTTAGCAGATAAGAACCTAGGATATCCTAGAATCAATGATAGAAGATAAGAACCTAGGATATCCTAGAAACAATGTTAGAAGATAAGAACCTAAGATGTCCTAGAAACAATGTTATAAGATAAGAACCTAGGACATCCTAGAATCAATGTTAGCAGATAAGAACCTAGGACATCCTAGCGCTAAGATCGTTTTTAGAATATTTAGCCAGAATTTTTAGTATAAAGCCTGATAAAAACAAGTTATTTGTAAATAAATTATTAGCTGAGGTGATATCAAGAATTTTTCATCAATTTATTTTAGAGTGTAGTTGATAAGAAGAGAAAGGAGGAATCTTCTAGTAGTCATGGTAACCAAGATTTATCTAATTCTACAGGTACCTTTCATCTTTTATTCTATAAAAATAAAATATCTATATCAAGTAAAGTGGTGTCAAAAGAAAATTTCTTGATAAGTTGTTGAAAACTGATGAATTTATTTGAGCTTTTGATGTATCTTGCATTATTGTCAGATTTTTATCTTATGTTGGTTATTTTCAGCATCTCTCCCAGGAGTTATCCCCCCTGATCAAATGGCAGAGATTTCTCAATTACTATCGCAATATCAACAACAGTTAAACCAAGATGGTGGATCAGGTCAAAGGTCAAACCAGCCAGTGTCCATGATGACGGCATCTAGTAATATAACATCAATGCTTGTTTCAGCTTTAAATAATTTACCTAGGTGAGTTGTCTTTCCTTTATAAACAGGAAGTGGGATGATAGTTTTCAGTTGATTATGGTGGTGCTTGATTGGAGAGACTGAATAATTTGTTCCAAATTTTGCCCCAATTGAACAGTATGGAAGCTGACATGTCTCCACCATTTTGAATTTAGTCTACAAGTTCTATTTTTTTGTGGACGAGTTCTGAAATTTGTTCCAACTTGTCTGCTGTTTTTCCATCATAAGAAGCAAAGTAGGATGTAAAACTCCAATTTATTTCAGTAATTTCACCTGATTACATCCCTAAAGTTCCACAAGATTGTTAATCTTTAAAATAAATCTTTTCTCTTGTCAGAAATCAGAATGGTGGAAAATCAAAACCTAGTGCTAAACTTTCACCGCGATCAAATCCACCTAAAAAACCTACAACACAAAAACCATCTACATCAGCAACTAAGGTAGGTCGATACTTAAAGCGAAAGGAGTCTGCAGTAGTCACCCAGAGGTTTCTAAAACCCTCTACCTCTATTTGTTAGAAATGCCTCTATCTGACCTGTACATGTTTTCCATCTTTTGGCTTCACATGCATCATTTCACCAATATCTGTCAATCAAATGAATTGTATTTTCCCTAAATCTGTTGAAGATGAATATCATTTTCTCCTTTGTTGTCCTGCCTATATAGCTCTCATGAATCATTGGTCAATATCAAAAATAAAAAATCTGATGAGTTCAAAATCTATTAAAATTAGAACAAATTTTGGTAAATGCATTTTTATTGAATGAAATTAACAGCAACACTAACAGTAATATAGTTTTATTCTTATTATTTTATGTAATGTTAATATATGTATGTTTTACCTCTATCTTTATTTATTTGTATCAAATATGTGGAATATGTATAATATATAATGTATATAGTGTAATTTTGGCAATGAATAAATAAATATAGTTCTATACAGTCTATATAAATATTGAATGTTTTATAGGTCATCATGATTTCAATTATAGTATGATATATTGAAAAACAATCATTAGTTCTATAAATATAACTCTATTATTATAGGATACACATCATGAAGTAAAAACAGAAGGACCCAAGAAAACAGATAAAAAGACAGTAGCTGTTAAACCTCAGAAAAATAAATTCTGGAAATGAAAGGAAATTGTATTTGTGATAGCTATGTTTGTAGAATGGTTTAATAAATTTAACAGAGTAACTATGTCAGATCAGTCATAGTTAATTTGTACATTGTGCTTTACTGGTACAAAATATTAGCAGAAAACTAAGCAAGTGTGATATGAAAGTATTATCTATGTAATATGTATACAAGTTGCTATGTAATTTATATAGGTTGATATGTGATTTATATAGGTTGCTGTGTAATTTGCGTAGGTTGCTATGTGATTTATATAGGTTGCGATGTAATTTATATAGGTTGCTATGTAAACTGTGTAATTTATATAGGTTGCTATGTGATTTATATAGGTTGCTATGTGATTTATATAGGTTGCTATGTGATTTATATAGGTTGCTGTGTGATTTATATAGGTTGCTATGTGATTTGTATATAGGTTGCTATGTGATTTATATAGGTTGCTGTGTGATTTATATAGGTTGCTATGTGATTTATATAGGTTGCTATGTGATTTATATAGGTTGCTATGTGATTTGTATATAGGTTGCTATGTGATTTATATAGGTTGCTGTGTGATTTATATAGGTTGCTATGTGATTTATATAGGTTGCTGTGTGATTTGTATATAGGTTGCTGTGTGATTTATATAGGTTGCTATGTGATTTATATAGGTTGCTGTGTAATTTGCGTAGGTTGCTATGTAATTTGTGTAGGTTGCTATGTAATTTATATAGGTTGCTATGTTATATATAAAAGTTGCTAATTAATATAATTATATATTGGTTGCTATGTTATATATAAAAGATGCTAGGATATATATAAAGGATGTTATGTTAGATATATATAAACTGCTATGTAATTTGTATATATATAAATATATAATTTAATTCAGTTTATCATATAGGGTTTATAAATTACTGTGATGTAAAACTAAGCATTAAATATTACATATATTACATGACCATTAGAATTTTCTACAACTAACAGAGAGCATATACCAAGGTTTTGTTCACATCCTAAGCAATAGAAGACACCTCTAAAATACATCCCAAAACCAAAGCCTAAGTAATGTTGGATTTCAATATTTCCTATGTAACTATTGAATAAATGTATAAAGAGAAGTAATTTGACAGTGTTGTCTGAAAGTAATATAGAGTTATATATTATAAAGATGTATATACTAGAGAAAGGTGCTGAAATGATTAACTTGTTTAAAAACTAGATTATTTTTATTGTTATTTTATCTATTTATTTATTCAGCTTTCTATTAAATCTAGAATTTTATATTTTAGTTTTCTTCTTGAAGCTTGGTGAGAAAAGTATTTTTACGAGTAACTTTATGTTTCATTGGAGAAGTGTGAATGATATTAATGAACAAGGGATGATGAAGCAAAATAATTGTCTTAAAACAAGCTAGTTGGCTAGAATTTACATTACTGACTGAATGAAACTATACAGTTGGCAACTAGAATTTTTACTGACAGAGGAACCCTTATTGAAAAGTATGACAGTACTATTTTGTCATCTTCTGTAGAGGCAGAGCCAGGTTCACCCTACAGACAGGCGAGGAAACACTTGACTCACTGACTTACTAAATATATCTAGAAAGAGAAGTGGGCATTGGAACTTTTGATATTTCTCACTGGAACCCTTTACTAAGACATTCCAACCAAAATTGATCTTTAATAAAAACACTAGAAATTTAAAATAGACATTTATTCACTCTCTATCTAAAATAACAATATAATAAAATTATATCCTGAGATTTCTATACAGGGATCAAGGAAGCAGATAATTATTGTGTTTAAGAACAAATTTGTGTCCTAGCAACATCTTTAAAGCATCTAAACTAACATACAAACACTAAATACACCTTAAAGAGCACATAATTACTACAAATTGGCCTGTGGGGTAGGGGGGCATTTGACCAATTGTACTCCCACTTTATTTTCAACAAATCTAAAAAAAAAAACGATATTTTTTTGCCCAAAAATATGTGCTAGAATGCATCTAATAAATTCATTTTTTTGGGAAGACACAAAATTTTACTCAAGATTCAAGTTGACAACAGAAATCTCAGACCAAGACTGCTTGTGTGACCGCACATTAAGAATTTATTGTTGAAGAATGACTTTTCTTCATACAAATAACACAGACAATTCATTTGGTATCAAAATAATTTTAAAATTCAATTTACCAACAAAACTAAGAAGTAAAAATTAAAGAATCTGAAAAAAAAGTTGTGTTAAAATCTCATTAAAAAGTTGATAAATTCTTTGAAACAAAACAAACTCTAACAATAGAATCTATATAAATAAACCAAATATACACAAAATATACAAGAAGTAGGGTCTAGTCACAGTCAAACTTCTCGAAAGGATTGGTAATTACGAAATTAGCCCCATGTTCAGACGGGAAAGCTTAAAAATATGTACCCTCGACAACTTTTACATGATATATGGATATAATATCTGGTAGGGCAAAAAAAATGCTTCTGATATTTAGGACCCTGAGTATTATAGTGAAAACTAGGCCGGATTTCGTAATCTTTCCCAGGCACATCTTTCTGTTGCAAACAAGATTTTTTATTATGTTAAACAACCATGTATTTACCAGGTCAGCTACATTAATGTTTAGGATTTCAAAAATATGATAGTATTGTCTTAACCTTTGTGGGTGACACCCAATTAAGTAGGCAGGTACATTATTCTTCAACATCTTTTTGACATTGATAAGAAATAATGTGGCCTGTTTAAACTCTGTAGAAATGATTAAAACATGATTAAAAAATTATATTTACATACACAGCATATTGGCAAATAAAAACTCAATCTTTGGCAACAAAATGACTGAATATTAACAACAATAATACTAAAAACAATATCAAGGGAGTCTGTCTCTCAAATTTGCTGCATAAAGATTGTGGTGAGCGCACACGGACTGCCCTTGTCGTAAACTTTTAGAGCCTTGCCAAGAGTTTCACAGACTGGCTGCAGGCAAACGAGGAGACAGAATCTCAAGTTGGTCGTTTCCCCCTATGATACAATTGAAGTCAAAATGAATCTGATTGGATGATGAAGCTCTATGGTGTCTGCAATAATCTTGTAGTGGAAGTCCTGGAGCATGTGAGATTTTACTCAAAATATTAACAGCGATATGATGCGTGCCATCACCATTACAATACAAAATAAAAATTATTGAAAGTACATGTACTGTATTCCCCTCCACTTTGATATAAGAGCAGCTGAATAACAATAATCAGTAAAGATGGCTAACACACTATAAGTTATACTGGTCGGGTAAATTATAGCTTTATCATTGATCATATTCACACAGTTACTGATTGGTTGACAGATATCACATGGTGTAAATACTGTTTTTTCATTGGTTTCATTATAAAGGTGTTTGATTTGGCTACCAAATGTCGAAAATGACCATTTTTGTTGACTTTCACAAATTAAAATGCATTTGGCAGCAGATCTTATTTTACACGGTAAAAATATTCAAACACAGCATTGGTCATATATAGCCATAACCTCTGATTGGTTGACAGGTATCACATGGTATAAAAACAGCGTTTTGATTGGTCTAATGTCGAGGCTGTTGATTTGAAATGGATTATGACTTTAGCATTAGTCACATATATACACATAGCCATAACCTCTGATTGGTTGACAGGCATCACATGGTATAAATAGAGTATTTTGATTGGTTTAGAATGGATTAGGTTCGTGAGGTAATACGCTACGTCGCGGGTAAAATGTATGATCTACGTTATAATGTAAGAGATTTATGAGACTAGACATATAAATATCAGCGAATCGTCCCAGTCGACGAGAGAAATACGTTGGATTATTATGAGTTCGGAATAAACTTCCAAATCTTGGATTAAACATAGCTTTTAGTTTATATCTGAAATAAAAAATGTCAAATGATGAAATTACTATTAGTAGACAACTTGAGGTTGCTTAGCCTCATTCTTGGCAAATCTCAACCTAGTCATAAATTTCCGGTTTTCAGAAATACAGTAACAGTGCCGGAGTCAGGTTGATGTCGGAGAGGGGACGAAATATCTGAGGTTGCCTAACTAACCTAGTTATGAGAGTCATGCCCATAAAACTTGCATTAGGGGCTGCGAGGGGAGGCGGCTGTTACTGAAGCAATATTATAGTATAATCATCTTAAGATTTCGTGGCACAGTAGTTATAATTGAAAAGCAACAGATCTAAAACAGATAGAACTATAAAATATATGTCTTACCTTATTTCATCTCGTTCTTCTAACCAAATCTCAATCAACTCGGCTGAATCTAAACTTGATTGATGCTGAAATACAAATATTTACACTTTCATCAAATATTAGGATTAATTTCAAATTTACAAAAGATATAAATTAATTTACACAAAATACACGACTAGGTTTGTGATTTGAATATAATACATTGATATTGGACATCATCATGTGACATCACTTGGTAACAAGCTGATTGTGTATATAAATATTTTTCAAAACATGAGTGTTTAAAGATGGATTTCCTTATTTTTTAGTGTCAAGTTAAGCAAACTATTTGATTAATTGGTGTTTCTAATGAATTATCACGTATTCTTAATCATATCATTATGTAATTATTGTATATAATTTTAAAGTTTTAACCATTCATAAATGTCCACGTACATACAGTCTGTATAAAAATACTTTATGACCTTTCTTGATCTGTCACTCATTGGAATTATGCTGGTAATTCTCTTCTAATTTAGCTAATTATGAATTAATTATAGACATGCGAGACAAACTGGTATTTTTCAAAGTCATTAGAACACCTCTACTTTCTATCCATATAAGTATTAGCATTTTCATTTAAGGGAACCCATCTTTAAAAGGGAATAGTAGACAGGGTTATATAAGCTGTATAATGTTTACTAATAATAAATAATATTACCTGAGATTCCTCTAACTGCTGAACTAATGACACTAACCACTTGACATTCTTCTGATATTCTACAGTATTCATCTTTTCTACATCATTCTATAAATAGAGAGTTAACAGACGTCAACAGGGATGTTGATTGACCGCTAGACCAGCTCAAATGTCCGTCTTTGGCAAAGGATATAGATTGGACAAAGAGTTTTGATCAAGTTTCAGGCTTGACAGTAGTTCAGTGGGAGCAGAACTGAGAATGACCCTAGTTCTTAAACTTTCAGATTTCATTTACCCCTTTTTAACAATAAAACTTCATTGATATCTCCTGGTTCACCATAAATACAGTGAAATATCGATACAGCCAACTGCTGATACAACATAACTCTACGATTTCAAACTGTCCCTGAAGCCCTTACATTCCCCATCCCTGTGAGTCTGACTTGTAGAGTCAATATTGAAACTGTTGATAATGAAGATATATTAAGATTGATGTAACAATCCACCTACCTCTAATTCAGGAATTATACCAGCAGTTCTCCACCCATGTTTTAATGAAGGATCCTGAAATAACAGAAACAAACACTATGATTTTATATAGACAGTTTTTTTTCTTAATTAATTAATTAATTTCCTACATTGAATTTTGAATTCATTGAATCAAGCAGTTTGAATCCTCTAAAAGTGGTTGACGCCTTGATTGCTCATAAATTGCGGAGCAGACAGCAAAGTAGAGAAAACCACATCAACACTGTTGGCAATAAGTATTCTCGAGAAAAAATACTGAGTTGACAAACTTTTAAGCATCAGGTGTTAGGATAGAGTGAGTTTGACCTGCCAAAGGCTGAGATGGGCTCCACAGGCCATTCTTCCAAATGTAAATTATAAAGTGGAGGGGAGGGGCTCTCTGTTCTCACACCCACTGTACAAACGTTACTGGCAACAGACAGTAATTACAGCTCAGCTCTCATAATAGGATCTGGGGAAAAAATTTCAAATTTCTTTGGAAGGATATCTTGAGTAAATATAATTAAAATCCAACTTACAGCTAAATCACTGTATACATGATCACCAAAATATAACACTTTGTTTCCAAACCAACCAGTCATATCTTTTAATCGTGAAAAATTCCCTTCTTGATAGACACGCCCCTTCTGGAGTTCCGTTACTTTACCCCAGGACTGGGTGTTCCTGACTTCATCTAGTTCACGGAACGGACTGAAAATAGATATGATATATAACACAGTTTAATGGAGAGCCTGTAGAATACAGGAATTCAGTTTATTGTTATATTTGGGGGCAGAAATCTCAAATAGAGCTCTACCTCAAACAGAACACTGTCACTAATTACAGTCTGCAGCAAATATCAGATTCCAAAAGCATAAGTCTGCACTCTACTTGTACAATACATGCGTTTAGTCTATTCATTTTCCTCTGGTACACAGAAGAAGAATGACATCTGAAGAAGCAATCCAAGATGACAGCTGTAGATCCCATTCACAAATCATCCAAGAAGAAGGCCTTAACCAAGCCTAAAGTGCCTCTATAACATCTCTACCTATGCTGGGATCAAATCTGTCACTTCCTCAAGGTAAGAACAATTGATGCCTGTGCCAGTGCTTCTGCGAGTGAGCCCAGTGTTGCCTTTCACTTCCTATTATCTTTAAGTTAACTAGCATCTAACTCACTGAGTCAACATGTGAATCAAGACAAAACTAAAGGTGTGTACATACCGGGAAGTTTCGTTGAAGAATTTCGGTTTTCTAGCGTTAGTTATAACAACATCGAACATTTCTCTCCAATCTTCACCAATCATAAATCTCATACCAGCATCACTAGAACAAGGGCAATAACTCTTTATATGATAGTATAATAATCATATAGTAATATTAGCTTCTCTGGTTGCATCATATTGCATGTAACAAGGACAATAACTCTTTATAAACTTAATTGAGAGTTTTACATGAATATACCAAATATACATTATTAACTATGTGGACTCTCTGTAAGGAATGCTGAGTTGACAAACTGGAACAGAGAGTGGTATTAGGTGATCTGGAAGAGTAAGCATGGTCTGCCTGGGAAGTAACACCGCACAATAAAGTAATATGATATATTTTTTTATGTATTCTAACGAATAGAACTAATTGTCCACTAGATAACCAAATCAGATCAAAACGCAACTACACGTAAACACATGCTTATAATGTTACTACCATAATGAATTCATGATGTGTAGATCTACATACCATAATGAAATCTAGTCATCATAATTCCAAATTATAAAAACAAATACTCACACGAAATTAAAGCCACTGTTTGTGATGAGAAATAATTTTTTATTAGACGATCTCAATCTTTCTAATAAATATTTTGTTTTTTCACATTTCATTAGGTACAAATCTAAAATAGAATCATAGTGAGGACAACATTATCTTTCACTGTTGATTTATCTTCTAATGCCTGTTAACAAAATTATTTATCACATGATATGCTTTTAGACTATTATGATTGCTTTGGTTAGAGCATTGTCCTAGCAAAATCGCTTCATTGCACACTACAATGCCTTGCCTGTATTTATCAAATCATGATTCAAGACAGACAATTAGCACCTCAATCAACATAGAATTCAATATAACATATTGTAAAGATATGTTTACCAACCTATATTGTCCATGATTTTTTGATGTAATAAACCTGAAGAATGGATTCTCTGAATACAGTTCTACAAAACAGAATTCATTTGATTTAATTTGAATCATAGAAAGTTATTACTTCAGGATTACGAACTGTTCCTAAACCTTTTGAACACATAATAAGACAAACTGTTTTGTATATTTCATTGTTTCAATGTATGAAGAATATAAAGACTAACCCTGACATCATAGAAGACGTATTCTG